GTTATTTGAGGACCTGCTGTATGTGCCAGGTACCATTCCACGTTTTTAGGATATATCACTGCAAAACACAAAATTTCCTGCCTACGTGGACCTTGCATTGTGTGGGGAGACAGATCATAAACATTAGTAGTTTATATCGCATGGAGAGAACAGGATAAGGGGGATCATCAGTCCACTTGTGCTCAAGGGTAGGAGTATGAATGGAAATTTTGAATTAAGTAGGTCAGGGCAGAGCTCGTTGGGAAGGTGACAGCCACGCGAAGGTTAAAGAGAAGCAGGAGTGGGTACACTAGAGTCGGGGAAGAGCACTAGGCAGAGGACACGCCAGGAGCAAAGGCCCTGAGGCAGGAGTGTGGCCCACTTGTGAGAGGAACAGTGAGGAGGCCTCCTGGCAGGAGAGGAAGGAGTGGGGAAGAGGAACAGATGAGATCCCAGAGGTAGCAAGGAGGTCACCTAGGCTTTAATAGGACAACATAGGATGTGGCCTCTTACCTTGATAAAAGGAGCCTTTGGAGGGCCCTGAGCAAAAGCATGGGTCACTCGGACTGCTGTGTCGAAACTGATTGTCCTGTGGGTTGAGGGGTTGGGGACTGTAGAGCAAGGATGGAAACAGATCCCTTACACGGTTTCTACCGTAATCCAATAAGTTTGCAGTTTTTCCTTCTTTGAGATCATTTTCTTAATATAAATTCCCTAACGTGAAATCATAGAACAGTTTATGGTCAAATAGATTTTCATAAGGATTATTCCACGTTATATTGCCTCTGGCAATATATGAGATTTCTAGTTTCTAGTTTCTTCATTCCTATCCTTCCTAAGATAGAATATTTTATTGTTACTGTTAGTATTATCATTGTCATTAATAATAGGTTTCAATTTTTTCTATATATGTACTAGTTATATTGTCTTTTATGACTGTTCTGTTTGTTTTCATTGCCTATTTGTCTACTGAATCTTCATGTTTTTTATTAATTTATATGATCTTAGTTTTAGGTGCAAAATTTGGATCCTGAATACTGGAGCCAAGTTTACAGACTACAGTTTGCAGTCAAATAAAATCTAGATATGGGCCCTGAAAATGTTTATGCTTAGTTAACGGGCAATCAAACGGTGAAATATATTCATTTTCCTTGTTTCTAGCAGGACTA